ATGAGGAAAGGTCTAATTCAGCGTGCTCGGCGAGTCGTCAATGGAGCGTCGAAGACAGCACAGGCGACACGACAGGCTGAGGCAAGCTCGAGAAATTGGAGCAGTGAGTTCACAATATGTATAGCCTTCACTGTACTCAGCCAGATGCTATTGGAAAACAGGCAAATGAGTGATGATCGAATTTCGAAGCCACTGCTGGGATTGCACGAACTTCGAGGAACCTCCAGTTTGGATGGGGCCTTGGGGCTAGAACCGTGGGCGGGTTGGTGGTCCGATTACACGTGGCATGTTTAGAGAGCTGTAGGGTGCTTCTCTGTGCCGTGGTGTCTCTCCGTGGTTGGTCGTTGGATTGTCTTCCACAAGTTCTTGGGAGGTGTTGTGGGCGGGTTTGAACTCGATTAGGGTAATAGCCACAATTGCTGTGGTACACCCGCTAGGTAATCTACCAGCAAACTGTTGAAATATTTTATGGTTCACTTACTAATTAAACTTGCGGTGGTTGTCCACCCAAGCAGCGTTCTCAATCTTCGTGACAAAGCGTTACCATACGTCGTTTTTTTCGTTCAGTTACAGGGGCGGGTGTTTTTTCGCTGCACTTCTTTTCGTGAATCTGCTTCCCTCCCACCACCCTCATCACCCCTCCCCCACCCTCCCCTCCTTCCCTCCCCTAATTTCTACCCTAATTTCTAATTTCCTCCCTCCTTTCTGCCTTGGCTCCCTGCCCTGTGCGTAGTGCCTTCCTTTCTCTATCTCTTAGCCAACCAGGAGCCGTGTAACTCCCTCCCCGCCGGTCCGCAAGCATGGCGACAGAAGCAGTGGTGGCCGTAGAGGCGCCCGCCGGGGAGCCAACGACGTGAAGCTCTTCGGCAAGTGGTCCTTCGCAGCGGAAGACATCACGGTATGCGCTATAAGCTGCACCGATGAGGCCACTGTCGGCGTGGTTTTCCTTCCGATCGCAGACCTGGCTTATTCGCAGCTTGCCCGACGACACGTAGTCCATGCTCAGTGGTAGCGAAAAGTTCAATCCAACTTCTGGTCGGCAGTGATAGTCTGCCGGCAGCAGGTTCGAGCAGACCTCTTCCGCGCGGTACCGCTGTCGTCCTCGTTCCGTGGACCCGGCTCGCCTGGGCGTCCACGTTTTAGATTTCTCAGCTGCGCCACGTGCTACGCAAATGGCGGATGTTTCTGCTGCAATTCTCATCATCGATAACCGGGAACGCCAGCTTTCTGTAACCTCAGGACAGCGAAGTTTCTCCCTCCTGCTCCTGCCGTTAGTGCCTCGATGCCGTCAGTCGCAGGAAAAAAAAACAAACTTAGACGAGGGTTAGTCGCAGAGAAAGAGTTGTTAGACGAGGGTTAGTCGCAGAGACATCGGGGGGTTGATTGGATGACTGGAGGGGCACCCAGGTTGACGAGAATCGGGGAGTGTTGCGCTTTCTTAACTCAGTCCGCTTAGCTTTCCGTACCATTGAGCCGTAGTTGGTGGAAGCCGTCACGGAGGGTTTCCGGGTCGTGAGGGTCACGTGTTGCGGCGTCACGCGCGTTCGTATTCCGATCGATGGGTTTCCTCGAGTCGGCGTTCATGCGCCGTTGCGTGCGAGTTAGACATGGCCGAGCGGGAATCCAAGGGTAGATGGTGCGCTTGGCGACCCGATTGTGCGAGTTGAGCGCGTTGGGTCCTCGAGTACGCCGGCACGCGGCGGACGTCGATGGTGCCGTCGCCGCTCTTCCTGCTGTTTTCTGAGCGCACCTCACCTTCCATGGCCGCTCCGTTTCACTTCTCACCGAATCCCGCTCTCCTCTCAACCTCGTCATACCCGCCTCCTTTTGTCTGTCCTCATGCCCTTCCGCGTCCTCTCCCCGGCCGGCAGGTTAACGACTTGTCGCTGGCCGACTACATCGCCGTCAAGCATGCCATCACCGTGCCGCACACTGCCGGCCGCTACTCCGCCAAGCGCTTCCGCAAGGCGCACTGCCCGATCATCGAGCGGTGAGTGAGGCGCAATCGAGGTGTCGCGGCAAGAGCGCGCCTATCACCTCCCTATTGCCCAGCGCCGCCGCCCGACGACCTCCTCGTCCGTCTGAGCGGCTGTGGTCGGGCCGACAATGAGGGGGAAGTACACTCCTAGTCGCCCAAATTCCGAGACGTCTCTGGGCCAGGTTTAGGGGGGCTTTCACCCAGGCAATGGGAGGGCTGGACGCTTCTAGTCTGACGTGGTTCCACCTCAAGGGCGCCGACAGGCACGAGAGCACGGATGTTGCCCCTTGCGCCCCCCCTTTCCCCACCCCGCTCCCCCACCCCGCCCCACTTTCTCAGCCCCTTGTCGGCTCCTTGTGATGCATGCGCGCCACGGCACTCATTGCAGTCCACGCGCCACGCGCCACGTCCGTGACATGACTCTCGCACCACGACTTCCTCCGCGTGCCCACCGCAGGTTCAACCGACGACCGTAATGACGCGCCGCCCGCAACAACGGCACGGAGCTCACGCCGTTTTCTCCCCTTCCCGCCACCCCTCTCGTTGCTCCTCTCCTCTCTCTTTTCGTCGCCTTGTCATCTTGTTCCCGCGTGTATTGGCGCTGCCACAGGCTGACGAACTCGCTGATGATGCACGGGCGCAACAACGGCAAGAAGCTGATGGCGGTGCGCATCGTGAAGCACGCGATGGAGATCATCCACCTGCTCACGGACCAGAACCCCATCCAGGTCATCGTCGACGCCATCGTCAACAGGTAAAGCTCTGCGCCGGCTTCCCGGGCTCACACGCAAGTGCCACATGCGCACGTGCCAACGTGGATCTGCGCTTCAGCGGTGGAAGAATGACCCCTTTCGATGCTGCTGTGCACGGGTTTGCGAGGTTGGGGTGAAGAGGCGGGCACAGCATGGGCAGGGTGGGGAAGAGGACGAGAAAGTGGATGACGGACTGCATCCGTCCCCGCCTCGCACCACCAACCGCCTCCTCACTCATAGCCCTCCACGCTCACACTCTGCACGGTGGCCTGCGGGTGCTCACGTATCCAACTCTCCATCCCCGTGCTCTCCCTACCCCCCATCCCTTGCGCTGTGCCTCCCTGTGGCGCTGCCTCTCACCTGCCAAGTCGCCAACCCTCTCGCGCCCAAGCCCTGTCACCCTTCCCCTCACCTGTTCCCCCCCCCCCCTCCTCAAACCAACAGCGGGCCGCGCGAGGACGCGACGAGGATCGGGTCGGCGGGTGTCATTCGCCGCCAGGCCGTCGATATCTCGCCGCTGCGACGAGTCAACCAGGTGTGTCCCTCGTGCGACACCGTAGACCGCGTGTGCAAGTGGGTCATCGTGACCCTCAATATCGGATTCACAAGAAAGCTTTATCGTGCCTGGTTTGCTCCTATCGTGCGTGGTTCGCGACCCCCAATATCGGAGTCCATCCCACTTGTTGCCGCGGCGCAATGCTCCAACTTCTCGCCTCATGGCAATGCGCTTTGACCTCAACCCTCCCAATCACCCCGCCTCCTTTCCCCTCCCTCTCTCCCCCCCCCCCCTCCCCCAACCCCACCTCTCCCGCCAGGCCATCGCGCTGCTGACGACGGGGGCGCGCGAGGCGTCGTTCCGCAACGTGAAGACGATCGCGGAGTGCCTGGCGGACGAGCTCATCAACGCCGCCAAGGGCAGCTCCAACAGGTACGGTGGGTCTTGGCTTTAAGGGCAGCTCCAACAGGTACGGTGGGTCTTGGCTTTAAGGGCAGCTCCAACAGGTACGCCAACCAAGGGCTTTAAGGGCACCTCCAACAGGTACGGTGGGGCGGGGCTTTGAGGGTTGAGGTGTGTGGTGCAACAGGCGCGCAGTGAGGTGTTGTTGATGGTGGCCTGCTGTTGCTGCGGCGTCGTGAAATGACACAGTTTATGACAGACCTAATGTTTTTGTCCACTCGGTTTTCCTTCCTGTTCCCCATTACGTCAGAATTAAACACACTCCCTCCTGTTCCTCTCCCTCGACCCTCTCTTCTACTGATTGGACATCAATTTTCTTTGCCATGCAGCTACGCCATCAAGAAGAAAGATGAGATTGAGCGCGTCGCCAAGGCCAATCGTTAAACAGTGCTGGCTTTTCTTCGTGTCTTCAACTCCCAAGCTCCCAATAGTGCTCGCCTCCTGCCTATAGCGCTGTGCTTGTCGCTGTGATCACACAAGATAGGCTGCTTCAGCGTTGCATAGATAAGCCATGTGAAGCATTGTGTCTGGTATTTGGAATGCAAGTGGATTTCTGATATGAAACTTACGAACCTTGAGATTAGGGGTTGTGCGTAGAAGACAGCTTTGTGCATACAGCGTTGTTTCGCATTGAAGTCAACAACCGTAGTACACTCCCACCCGTTGTTATTGTAACCAATCGGATTGTTTCTTCAGGGTTGCGAACTGACGACGTGGTCTATGCTTCTTGCTTTGTGCCATCTGGCACGGCTGACGGTAACCGCTGGCAGTTGGGCGTTTGTCTCACACAGAGAAATCCTATCTAGGTCGTCGTTGACCGAAGAGTTTCTAGGGTTTCAGAAGCGAAGGCTTTCCACGGCCCCACTGGGACATGTGCGACTCTCTCGGCACTACAGTCAGCATTCGGTCAGCGAGGCTCGCTTGTAACTGTTTCGGGTTTCCCAAACCAGAACCGAGAAGCTTCCCTGAATCCCGAACCTAGCTTACAGGCTGGGCAAGTTACCATTGGTTGGTACAAACGACTTGTTGTTCCGTCGTCTAGAGGTCCACTCCACTTGCACTTCGTTCTCTTCAGGTCTGGTCCGTCGCGTCTCCCCGGCGACCCTCGTCTCCCCGTCGCCGAACCACACGCTTGGTCCGCCCTGCCCTGCTCGGTGCCTGACCGACCGCCGCTAGATGCTTTTCAAACGAACGTTCGACGCCTGCTGCTCGCGCAGTCAAGTATCCACCACCTGAAAGAGCTCTGCCTGCCTGCTTCCCTTGCTCTGCCCCCGCGCCCACACGCAAGCCCGATCGGTACTGTACTCCGTCCGTTCCGCGCAGTAGTTCTCTCGTTTGGTCCCCCTCGATCTAGACGCCAGTATCGTCCGAGCGTGCTGTAGCCGTGCTCGCCGTCCTCCTCGTTTTTTCTCGTCGTAGAAGCTCGTCATTGCGCGCCTACCCCAGCTCTACGTTTCGCAGTATCGCGTTACTCCTGGATGTCGTCTTAACGGCTCACCTTGAAACAGCTCACCTTGAAGCAGCTCAACATCGATAGTTCCTTACCAGGCTTTCGTGCTTCGAGGCGTCTCGAGTCGCGCATTTTCCGCTACCAGCGAAGCACGCGTTCGCGTGCCCGTGGTCCCCTGAATGCAATGCGTCGTCTCGCTCGAGAGCTCCATTCTCCAGAGCGTCTCCCGCCACCTAATCGTCAGGCGTGTGCGGAAATGCCCGGCGTCACAGAGCTGGCAGTGTGAGCAACTCCACTCAGATCTGTCCCGCGAGGTTTCTCGGTGACCCCCACGTTCGAGGCTCGGGCGTCGGCGAATGGCGCCAGCAAGCGACGCATCTCCGCCTCAATCACCTGCCGCGAACGGGCCGGGAGGAGACGTTCCGGGAGGAAACGGGTCGCGAGAAGACGGGCCGGTCGTTCCACAGACGTTAGAGCGGGGAGAGGAGCAGGAGCTGGCCGGCATGGGTGACAGACAGTCAGGGGAGGCCGGCGAGTCGGCAGGTTGGGAGAATGCGGCAGTGGCGAACAAGTCCGCTGCACCAGCCGCGGGATGGCCAGCGGACGGTGGACTCTGCGGCTGCTGCCGCTGCCGCTGCCGCTCCCGCTGGCGCTGGTCAGGGGGTGGCGCGTGGCGGCGAGACCACGTCCGCTGTTGAAGCAGGCGCTCCGGCGCGCGGTCAGGAGACCACCAACGCTGTCATGTCGCAGGTAACCAGCAGTCTCAGGTAACCAGCAGTCCCGGGTTACCAGCAGTTGGCAGTTTCAAATAACCAGGTGCTAGGGTAACCAGCTCGGGTAGCCTGTCTCTGGTGACCAGCAGTTTCTGGTAACCAGCGAATCAGGTAACTAGCAGTCTCAGGTGATTGTCCCCCTGTCGCTTCCCCCTCGTGAGCCTCTAACGTCTATGCGTACCAGTCAAGCTGCCCATTGCTCTTACTGCCGTGCTGCTTCTGCACGTGCTCTGAGACATACTCGTTACTGCTGCCCCGCGGCTGAGTCAACCGTGCGTCATCACATCGCCTCGCCCCTTCACCTGCCGCATTCTCCGCTGCTGGCCTTTCCAATCCTTTCCGCCTCGTGCTTCCCCACCTCCCCCCTCACTGTTCCCGCCGTCTCCTCCCCCCCCCCCTCAGCTGGCGGACATGCGGGGCATGATAGAGCGACTGAGCCGCGAGAACGAGTCTCTGCGCGCCATAGTGGCGCTGCAGGTCTCCGCGGGCGGGGGGAGCGCCCCTCCCGCGCATGCAGTGAGCGGCCCCTCGCCCTCGGCCGGGCCAGAGAATGTGCGAAGCGCGGGAGGAAAGGGAAGCGGGGGGGCAGCTGGAGCAGAAGCGAGCGCTGCTGCTGTGGAGAAGGGAGGAGCGCAGGGCGAGAGGGGGGAGGGGGCGGAATGGGCAGAGGTGAAGGCGCAGGTGCAGCAGGTGCAGGAGCTTCGGGGACGGCAATGGGGGTGGGGGGCTGAGTGGCGACGCGCTGGCGGCGATGATGGCAGCAGGCGCAGGGGGCGCGGGAGCGGGGGAGGTGGGTGCGGAGCTGGTGCGCGTGCAGCAGATGCACCTGCTGGCCATGCTGCCCTACCAGGCTGCTGCTGCGCAGGTGAGGGCGCCCAAGGGCACGTGGGAGGGCGAAGGGGAGAAGAGCAGGTGGGAGGGGCGAAGGGCCGTAATATTCGATTCATAAATCCCGCACGGCCTTTCATAAATTCTTCCCATCGGCCTCTCAGTGGTGTTGTTGACCCACCGGCTCTTCATATTCCTTTCTAACCCGCCATCCTCCCCCATTCCTCCATCCCCCCCCCCCCCCGCAGGCCATGTCTCGCTGGTCCGCCCTCTTCCCCTCGCTCCCCAACCCCCTCTCCTCCTTCCCCGCCTTCCCCTCCGCGCCCCCCTCCTCCTCCACGGCAGCAGTGGCCATGCTGCCTCCCCCTCCCCGCTCCACCCAGCCGCGCCCGCAGGCACGGACAGGGGCAGCACGGGGAGAAGGTCTCCGATGCCGCTGCTGCCAGCGCGCTCGCACACGCCACCTGGGCCAGTGCACGAGCAGCGCCACGCGCCCGCTCTCAACCGCAGCCACAGGGGCTCGCTGTCGCCCCCTGACTCCTGCTCCCAGCAGCGCTGCAGCGTGGCCCGCCCGATCAGCCCTGTGGCAATGGACTGCAGCGATTCAACGAGCGAGAGAGCCGAGGGGCGGCAGCAGCAGCAGCAGCAGGAGGGGGGAACGGAGGGTGAATCAAAGCATAGACGAGGGGGAGACAGGGAGCGGACGGGCGCAAGGGGGGAGGGAGAGATGGTGTGTGGGAAAGGTGGCAGTGGGGAGAGCGAGCGTGTGAACGGGGTCGAGAGGGCGCGCAAGAGGCAGCGGGTGGAAGGGCGGGCAGAGGAGGAGCAGCGTGCAGGCGCTGTGGCGTGCGAGCATGGTGGAGGTGGAGAGGATGGGGCGCTGGGTGGCGTGCAGGCGAGGGAAGGGGGGAGGGAGCATGAGCACGAGGGGGGCTGCCAGAGGGAGCAGGACATGGCGGGGGGTGAGAGTGCACACGAGGCAGCCAGCGCAGGTGGCAGTGCGGGCGGCAGCAGCGGCGGTGGAAAGAGGGCCCTGCCAAAGAGCCGCTTCTGCGGCGCTGCTGCCCCGCCACCCCTGGGGTGCGGCGTGGGGGAGAGAGCAGCAGAGGCGGGAGCGACGGAAGCGAGGGAAGAAAAGAAGAAAGATTTTAGGGGAAGCTCAGATGGGCAAGAGGCCGTAGCTGTGGCCCCTGCTGCTCATGGGTGGAGGGAAAGTCACAAGCTGGACTTCGGCCCTTCTGGCCCTCCTGCTGCTCCTCCTCCTCATGCTGCTGCTGCCACCACCAACGCTCCTGCTGCTGCTTCAGCTGCTGCGGCTACTCTGCCTGCTGGCCATGTTGACTCGCCTGCTGGCCATGCTGACTCGCCTGCTGGCCATGCTGACTCGCCTGCTGGCCATGCTGACTCGCTGACCGCCAAGAAGCACGGCGCGGGAGAGCGGGCGAGTGAGGGGGAGCAAGGAGAGGAAAGGCAGGTGATGGAGCCGGCACAGCAGGTGGCAGCACAGCAGGTGGCGGCACAGCAGGTGGCGAGGATGGCAGAGATAGTGGGTGGGACGGCGAGGCAAGCAGATGGTGCAGGAGGAGCGGCGGTGGACGAGCAGGGAGCAGCAGCTGCGGTGCAGGGGCAGCAAGAGAAGCAGCAACACGGCTCGCCAGCAAACGAACAAGGGCTGGTGCTTTACCAGCAGCACGCTCAGCAAGAGCAGCAGACACAGCAGGAGCAGACACAACCGACACAACTCGGACTAGCTCTTGAGCTGCAACAGCAGCAAACCGTGCTGCAACCGCAGCAGCAACAAGTGCAGCTACAGCAACAGCAGCAGCAGCAGCAGCAACAACAGCTACAGCAACAGCAACAACAGCAGCAGCAGCAGCAGCAGCAGCAGCAGCCAAGCAGCAGCAGCCAGCAGCAGCAGCAGCAGCAGCAGCAGCAGCAGCAGCAGCAGCAGCAGCAGCAGCAGCAGCCAGCAGCAGCAAGCAGCAGCAGCAAGCAGCAGCAGCAGCAGCAGCCAGCAGCAGCAGCAAGCAGCAGCAGCAGCAGCAGCAGCAGCAGCAGCAGCAGCAGCAGCCAGCAGCAGCCAGCAGCAGCAGCAGCAAGCAGCAGCAGCAGCAGCAGCAGCAGCAGCAGCAGCAGCAGCGCAGCAGCAGCAGCAAGCAGCAGCAGCCAGCAGCAGCAGCAGCAGCCAGACAGCAGCAGCAGCAGCAAGCAGCAGCAGCCAGCAGCAGACAAGCAAGCAGCAGCAGGCAACAGCAGCAGCAGCAGGCAGAGCAGCAGCAGCAGCCAGCAGCAGCCAGCAGCAGCCAGCAGCACAGCAGCAGCAAGCAGCAGCAGCCAGCAGCAGCAGCAGGCAGCAGCAGCAGCAGGCAGCAGCAGCCAGCAGCCAGCGAGCAGCAGCAGCAGCAGCAGCAGCAAGCAGCAGCAGCAGCAGCAGCAGCAGCAGCCAAAGCAGCAGCAGCAAGCAGGCAGCAGCAGCAGCCAGCAGCCAAGCAGCCAGCAGCAGCAGCAGCCAGCAGCAGCAGCAGCCAAGCAGCAGCAGCCAGCAGCAGCAGCAGCAGCAGCAGCAGCAGCACAGCAGCAGCAGCAGCAGCAGCAGCAGCCAGCAGCCAGCAGCAAGCAGCAGCAGCAGCAGCCAGCAGCAGGCAGCCAGGCCAGCAGCAAGCAAGCAGCAGCGCAGCAGCAGGCCAGCAGCAAGCAGCAGCAGCAGCAGCAGCAGCAGCAACAACAACAGCAACAACAGCAACAACAGCAGCAGCAGCAGCTGGCATGGCAGCAGCAGCAGCAGGCGCTGCGCTTCATCCCACGCACTTGCCCATCCTCCCCGACACCGCTGCCGCCAGGAGGGCTGCCCGCGTGGCCATCCGCGCCCGCTGCGACGCCGCCACCGTGCGCCCTCCCCGCCGCTCCCCTCCTCCTCTACGTTTAACTCCCCTCTCCTTTTTTTTTTCACCCTCCCGTCTCTCGCCTCCTCCCTCCTGCCTCTCCTCTCCTCTCCTCTCCGTTCCTCCCCCACTCTGCTCCTCTCCTCTTTTCTCCTCTCCCCTCTCCTCCGCTTTTAGCCTCTCATCCCCTCTCCCCTCCTTCTCTCCGCACCTCTTCTCTCCTTCCCTCTCATCCGCATACCTTGTGCATGCTACCATGCCATGCGCTGCCATGCTACCATGCATGCGCTGCCATGCTACCCATGCCATGCGCTGCCATGCTCCATGCCCATGCGCTGCCATGCTCCATGCCATGCGCTGCCATGCTACCATGCCATGCGCTGCCGCGTCTCTTCCGCGTCATCGCATCACATCGCGCACTCTAGCCTCGTGATTGCTCTCCATCCTCTAGCCTCGTGATTGCTCTCCATCCTCTAGCCTCGTGATTGCTCTCCATCCTCTAGCCTCGTGATTGCTCTCCATCCTCTAGCCTCCACCATGCTCCAAGCGCTCATCCAGACTTTGACTTATCTGCTTCTCCTCTTGTTCACACTTCCTCCCCTCTTCTCCCATCCGCCTTGCCCCATTCCCCCCAGCTGAGTGACGGCTGCCAGTGGCGCAAGTACGGCCAGAAGGTGTCCAAGGGCAACCCGTGTCCGCGCGCGTACTACCGCTGCACGGTGGCGCCGGGGTGTCCGGTGCGCAAGCAGGTGCAGCGGTGCGCGGACGACATGGCGTTCCTCGTCGTCACGTACGAGGGCCACGCACTCGCACGTGCTCGCCCCGCACGCCACGGCCATGGCCATGCTCACCTCCTCCGCCGCCCTCGTCTCCGCCTCCGGCAGCCAGGCGTCGCTGGCCTCGCCGTCGCTCTTCGCCCCCTCCTCCATCTCCTCCCCTGCTGCCTTTGCTGGCCACCACGCCTTCCCCCCGCCGCCAGGGCTGGCAGGAGGAGGAGCAGCGGGCGTCACACCAGCCAACACTCTCCATGGCGCCGCTGCCGCTGCTGCTGCCGCTGCTGCCGCATTCCCAATGGACCCGTCTCTGCTGGCGTCGCCCCTTGCCACGCCCACCCTGGCGGGCACACCCACTTCCCCGTTTGTGACGGCCACGGCGTCGCTGCCCACCGTGACGCTGGACCTCTCCAGCTTCCCCCCACACCAGCTCTCACAGCTCGGCCTGGGGCCGCCCACCGGGATGGCAGGGGTGGCAGGCGTGGCAGGGAGTGCCTTGCTGGGGGAGCTGGTGCCGTCTCTGGAGTTGCTGCCACTGATGCTGCTGGGTCCACGGCACCTCTTCCTCCTCCCGCCTCTTCATCTGCTGCCACCCTCCTGCCCGCCTCCACTGCACTGCCACCACCAATTCAACCGCCACTGCCATCACCAGCAACATTAGGGCACACGCCTATTGTTGCTGCTGCTGCCACACCTACAGCTGCCGCCACCCCCACTGACACCGCAGGCACCCCCACTGGCGCTCCCTGGTGGTGGCCTGGCGCCCCCGCCCTCTCCCCTTCCTCTGCTCTGGCCTTCCCCCCTCCACCACTTCCGTCTGGGCCCTCCGCTCCCTCTGCCCTGCTGGCTGCACCCTCAGCGCCTGGTGGTAACACTGCTGCAGCCGCCGTCTCCTCGGCCGCCTCCACTCCATCCCCTGTTCACGGCCTGCTGCTCCGCACCTCCCTCCCCACCTCTCGCCCCACTGCCCCTGCTGCTGCTGGCCCTGCCCACGCCACTCCTCTTCTTGCCCTCTCGCCCTCTCTGCCCCCAGCTGACCCCTCCACCAATGGTGGTTCAGCAGCAGACGATGCGCCGCCCCTCATCCACATTCCCCGGCGCCGTGTCATTGGCCACTTCACTGCTGAAGGCCCTGCTGCCACGCCACCCAACACTGCTGTCGCCTCGGGCCCCCCTGCACCTGCTCCTGCACCTGCACCTGCACCTGCTCCTGCTCCTGCTCCTGCTCCTGCCACCACTGCTGCTCCTGCTCCTGCTCCTGCCACCACTGCTGCTCCTGCTGCTCCTTATCCATCTGCGACTGTACCACCACCATCACCACCATCACCACCACCAGCAGCAGCAGCGCCGCCAGCGGTAGCAGCACCAGGTGCGGAAGCAGGCATGGATGCGGTGCTGTCGTCGCCAGCTGTGCACAGCCGGCTGGTGGCAGAGACAGCGGAGAAGATCACGAGTGACCCCGCCTTCAAGAGCGCCCTCGCCACCTACATCGCCTCGCTGCTCTCCACCCAGTTCCCCGCCACTGCTGCTGCTGCCGGCCCCACTCCTGCTGCCACTCCCACTGCTGCCCCTGCTGCTGCTGCAGCCCCTCCTGCCCCTGCATGCAGTGCTGGTGCCGGCACACCAGTCGCAGGCGGCTCTGCAGCCATTGCACAGCAAACCGGGCAGGCTATTGTGCAGGGCCAACAGCAGCTGGTAGCATCAGCTCTGCAGCAGCAGCAGCAGCAGCAGCCACACCAACAGCAACTCGTGCCCCAGCAGCACCCATTGCTTCTCTCCTCCCCCTCGTTCGCCTCCTCCCTCTTCCCCATGCTCGCACCCACCACTGCTGCCGTGCCTGCCACTGCCTCGTGGCCGTTCGCCCCAGCCACCCATGCTGCCTCCGCTCCACCGCCACCCCCCTCAGCCCTGCCAGGTGCCGTGGGAGCGACTCATGCGCCACGGGAAGGTGCAGCGATGAGGCCCGTGCTGCCGTCGCCGTGCAGCCCCGCGGCGCTGCTGCCCTCCCCACTTGCTGCTCCCATGACCCCCGCGCCCTCGCCTCTCGGCTTCTCGCATCTCTTTGCGCCTGCCTCCACCACGCCGCTCGACCTCTTCCCCCAGGTGCCACTGCCACTCTCACGTGTCGCCTCAATTCCGTCCTGCTTTTATTCCTTCCTCTCATGCCGCACTTGATTCCTCTTCACTTGTTTTGCACCAAACCCCCCCCTCCCACCTCCCTTCTCCCCTCGTGGAACACCCATGCTGCTGCACGCACACCACTGCGAAACGTCCAACCATTTTCAGCTTGTGTGTTCTTTCTGATTGCGGCGGTCTTTGCGCAATCTCCCTCGTGCTGGCTTGTTCTTGTGCGTGCAGGTGGCCGCTGCCAAAGAACCATCCAGCTCACCCAGCTTTCACTCTAACGCTAATCGCTCCGACTAGCAACGTGGCCTTGCATTGCAGGGAGATGGAGCACCTTACTGATGATCTCCAGTACTTCATGTCAATCCCTTACATGCTATAATCCATCTCTTGGGCTGAGTGCAGCCCAGGGATCTTATGCAGAGACCGAGTCATTTGTAGGTAGAGTGCTTGATAGCATAGCGAAAGTCTTACCGTATCCACCCGGATAGGCGCCCCCCCGGGGGATAGGCCTCAGGGTTTCCTGTAATCATCTGATGGGGCTTATGTGCCTTATTTGATTATAAACCCAACCCTGTCTGAGGTACATTTGCCATACAGGCCCCTGAGGCTTTAACGCCTGTTCGCCATAAGATGCATTGACTAATGAGCTCAGCTACACAGTACATAAGAAATTAGACTAGCTACTAAATGTCAAGTCTACACTAGGTAGGTTTCGTCTGAGCCACTTTTCCTAGGCATTGCACTTAATCTACATACCTTACATTACACTCTAACAAGTTTTTCAGTAGCAAACTACTGTACGATGCTAGTGAAGTGAACATGCCCTACACACCATTCCCCGCGTCTACCACGCGAACAGTTTGCATCCTAGCCCTCATCCTCATCAGCCATGCCATCCTCCACCCCATCATCCTCAGCTTCGCCGCAGCTCTCGTCATCGCCATCGTCACCCCCCTCGCATTCACCATCGCGGCCCTCCTCCCCATCATCCGCTTCCCCGCCACCAGATCCATGGGTCTCTGCAGCTCCGGAGTTGTCTCCAGCATAGCCAGGGGCTGTAGCGTTATCGTTGATGTCGACTTCGCTTGGCACGTCATCACGCATGTGCTTGAGCACCTCTGAATCCTCGGAGCCGTCAAGCGCACTGGAAATCCCCCACACCTTGAACGATTTCTTGATCAGTGTCGTAGGCACTGCTTTCCATGCCTTAGAGCACCACTTCAAAGTCTCCTCTGGAGGAGGCTTCCTCAGATTCCCTACCGCGGAATGAGCGGGCGTTAGAAATAGCCAAGCGCATATAATCAAGAGAAAACCACGAGGTAAGCAAACGGTGAAAAACAACTCACCCTTGGGTGTGGCGAGGTTAATGCCGGTGTCGTCAAACCATTCCTGATACTCTCCCCGGACATGCGCCTTGTAGGACTTGTTGACACACACGTCCAGCGGTTGAACAAGGCTGGTGCAGCCGGCGGGAATGACGGCGGGGATGATGCCTTGCTTCTGCAGCTCCTCTATCACACGAGGAGTTAGGTGTCCCTTGTAGCTGTCGAAGACAAGGATGGCTGTCTTTGCGCGACGCCCGGAGGTTGGCCTCAGGTAAGGCTTCACCTCTTCCCGCAGCCATGCGAGCACTCCCTCCGCATCCATCCACCCATTGACCTGCGCACGCACAACAACATCTGCCCAACATTCCGAACAAAAGAAGAGAGTTAGTTTTTAAACATAGACTAACCGAAGCGAATAGCAGAACACTGCAGCACAACCATTGTGGACACACAGCCACGGCAAGTGGATAACTGACCTTTGGGGAACTCTCCCTTCGGCGGGTTCTTGCGCTTGAAAAACACCCACGGCTTGAGCTTCTTACCGCTGGCGGAACAACCCAGCATCACAGTCACGCGTTCTTCTGGTAGCCGTAGGTGCGTACGGGGACAGTTCGAGCGCCGACGTGGTCGATGGTCCACTCGGAGGGCATCTCGAGCCAGAGTGGCATCTGGTCCACGTTCAAAATCCATGCATCGTCCACTCCGTGTTCCCGCCGTGCCTGGCGTACGAAGCGCGAGAAGCTCAGAACCTTGTCTTCACAGTCTGCTGGATAGGGCGGGCATGAACAAGAGCAGCACCTTGTTACTCTCACGCAGTAACACGTAGGAATTTTAAGAATTCGACGCATCGACGAGACATGCAAGTAGAAAACCAATAAAAAACCTACCAGTGGTCATTTTCTGACCAATTTTGGTCTTCACGCGCACCGTCAGGTTCCAGCGCCCTCGGAACAGCTGACTCCAGTGGTAACTCCCCTTCCACTGCTTGTCGGGAAACATCTCCCGCATGATGCGGCGGCTCCACGTCATTAGCTGCTTCACCGAGACCGGGCAGCCTGCCTTTCGCTTTTCCAGGACCATCTTGTACACCTCGACTTCCATGTCGTGGTACCAGGAGGTCCTGCCCGCGCCATGAAGCCGTTTCTGTGCTGGGTGAGAAGTATGCAGCGCTGGTTCCGGCTTCAGCCAGTCGCCGCCTCCTGGATACGCTTCGGCCCGAACTTGCCTTGGCGTGCCACCTCACGCTGCGACATGCCTTCACGGTACTTTGCCAGCCAGTAGAGCTTCTTGCTGCCGGGGTAGGAGTTTCTTTCATGGCCGGACCTGCGATTTCTAGGGGACGGGGGGGAGGAGTCTTTGTTAGTCGCCTTCGGATCCTTTGGAGACTTCCCCTTCGGGAATGTCGGGATGGGAATCTTTTCAGGAAGACCATCCCGACTCCAATACTCAACGTCGGCATCAGGAAGGACCGGCGCCGTCAGCCTCAGTCGGAAATGTGTTATCCGTCGGAATCCAAGTCAGGACTGAGATCATAGCGGGCCATAGCGGCGCAGGTGGAACAGGGGGCGCCAGGGGGGCAGGAGGAGCAGGCGGTGCAGGTGTGGAGGGAGGAGCTGGTGGTGCAGGTGGCGCGGGTGCTGGTGGTGGTGCAGGATAGGGAGCATGGTGACGTCTGCCCGAGCCAGCGCTTAGGCACGTGGGCTGGCCTGGACGACCGAAAAGGACGGAGAAGACGAAGACGGGGGTTTCTCCCATAAACGACTATCCTGTCTAAGTCTACGAGGAGAAGCGGACTCATGAAGCTGAGAAAAAATACACAAATGGTACACCAAGAAAGGACCCCATCGAATCCTTTGCGGGTAGACGGCTCGATAAGAACCCCCACCAAGGCTGTCATCGATGAGGAACCCATGCCAGCATCAGCGAAAAACGTGCAATGCTAGCAGGTGGGTCCTCGACACGTCCGACCCGATCCTGTGGTTCCCCCCTGGCGATGGCACATGCGAGCACCTTCGTGGCCAATCCTGGGGAGCAGACCTCGTTTGGGTTGGCCACCACATCCATTGCACTTGAGAGAGTGCGCCTATTGGGCCGCACAAAACGAGGGGCGCCCAGCGAGGCAGCATCTTCCTAATGCATCTTTACTAGAATCTTCCGTGCCTCCCTGGCCGAAACGCAACGCATTCGTTACCATTTATACGTAGGTACTATTCTTGTATATTTTTGTATTTGTTTCTATAAATCCGTAGCTTTAGCCCTGGGGCTTATTTAAAAAATAATCAATTAAAAGCCCCATTAAAAAAAGAGCTGTCCATCCTACACGCCCCTAGGGGCGCCTATCCGGGTGGATACGGTAGTTGAATCCTTGCACTGGTGTGTGAGAACGAGTGATTGATTTTTACAAGGAGATACATGGGTTTATAAAGAATTACAAGAGAATATGACGAGTCAAACTTATTATCCACTTCATAGAGGTACATTCCCTTGGGTCTGAAGTAGTACGACTCGATAAGCATGACTCGGGTAACCACTCGTGCTGTAGCCGGGACACTACAGTATGTGTCCTTGCTGTCGCTCAAGTTGGTTTGGCCCTTGAACTTCTGACTGCTGAGTTGCCACGTCAACGGTCAGTGATTGTTGCAATTCGCAACCTCCATCGTGTGTCGTCATGCTGTGTCAACCGTCGAGGGGTACTGTAGCACGGTTAACTTTGCCTATCATCGATGTTGCCTTACCAGCGTATTATGGTAATCGCAATACTCTGAACTGCTTAAAACTTCTCTTTATCATTTCCAACACTCCCCTTAATGTCTGGAGTGTCAATGTGTGCGACGCTGGTGACGTGTTGCAGTCCAGTTAGTAGCATGCAGTGTCAACTTATACAGTACATCTGCATTATATATAGAAGTTATTGGCTACATAGGGTTGTGTTCTTAGAGGGTACAATACCAACCCTATATCACTCATGCATTGCCTCGTTTCTAGTTACTTCGCTACTCTGCGATGGTATCAGGCTAGGTAGGTCCCACCCACCCGCGCTTCCGACCCAGCCTACCATAAAGCGCCGCCCCTAGCCCTAGCCTGCCGAGCCGCGTCGGCCCTCAGCTCGTCAAGCCGCGCTGGCCCCTAGCTGCCGCGCCGCCCTAGCTTGCCGCGCGGCCCTGTCTCGCCGTGCGGCCCTAGCTCGCCGCAACGGCCCCAGCTAGCCGCGCGGCCCTCCACTCGCTGCCGGCCCCAGCTCGTCGCCGGCCCCTCAGCTCGCCGCGGCCCCCGCTTGCCGCCAGCCCCAGCTCGCCACGGCTCCCAGTCTGCCGCGGCCCCCGCTCGCCGCCAGCCCCAGCTTGTCGCGCGGCCCTAGCTCGCCGCGGCTTCCATCTTGCCATGGTCCCCGCTCCTGCTGGCCCCTGCTCGCCGCCCAGCTCCAACTCCCCGCGGCTCCCAGCTCGCCGCCGGCCCCCGCTCGCCACCAGCCCCAGCTCGCCGCCGGCCCCTCAGCTCGCCGCCGGCCCCAGCTCGCCGCGACTCCCAGCTCGCCGCGGCCCCCGCTCGCCGCCGGCCCCAACTCGCCGCGGCCCATCTCACCGCCGGCCCTTCAGCTCGCTGCAGCCCCCGCACGTCGCCGCCTCCAGCTCGCAGCGGCCCCCGCTTGCTGCCGGCCCCATCTCGTCGCGCGGCCCTCAGCTCGCCGCCGGCCCCGCCTCGCCGCCAGCCCCAGCTTGTCGCGCGGCCCTAGCTCGCCGCGGCTTCCATCTTGCCATGGTCCCCGCTCCTGCTGGCCCCTGCTCGCCGCCCAGCTCCAACTCCCCGCGGCTCCCAGCTCGCCGCCGGCCCCCGCTCGCCACCAGCCCCAGCTCGCCGCCGGCCCCTCAGCTCGCCGCCGGCCCCAGCTCGCCGCGACTCCCAGCTCGCCGCGGCCCCCGCTCGCCGCCGGCCCCAACTCGCCGCGGCCCATCTCACCGCCGGCCCTTCAGCTCGCTGCAGCCCCCGCACGTCGCCGCCTCCAGCTCGCAGCGGCCCCCGCTTGCTGCCGGCCCCATCTCGTCGCGCGGCCCTCAGCTCGCCGCCGGCCCCGCCTCGCCGCAACTTCTAGCTCGCCGCTGGCCCCAGCTCGCCGCGCGGCCTCCATCCCACCGCCGACCCCAGCCTGCCGCACCGCCCCACCTGGCCGCGCAGGCGTCCGCCCGTCTCGCCACCCCAGCCTGTCGCATTGGCCCCTGCTTGCCGCCGGCCCCCTTACATGCCGCCGGCCCTGG